CATCTTCCTCACAAACTCTGTTTTCGATCTCAAGTCGTCTCCTTTCACCAAATGCATTTCCGGGTTCGCGCTGAAAGTAATCAGCTTTCCTCTCCATGGCTCCTCCGATAGCTCCGAGACGAGAAGACCCAGCGCGACGGAAACCTCCATCGGAATACCACTCATAGACCCGGAAACGTCGGAGATGGCGATGCAGTTCGTAAGCGAGCCCTTCTCCTTCAAATCATCAACAATTCGTTTCCACTGCAGCTCAGCGACTTGCCCATTGTCTACGCCGTTCAAATTACCTATTATCTCGTGAGGAAACAGAGCGCCTGCAGCAATCTTGGTGTTCCCCAACTCTGCGTCAACGAGGTACTTTTTAAACCTCTCTTCGTCGTGCCTGAGGAAATGCCCCTTGTAGGTCGTCATCGCCACAGACGCTACACGGTTGTACGGAAGAGACTTCCAGTCCCTAGCTCCCATGTAAACCTCTGGTAGCTGCAGAGTCTTTCGGAGAGGAACAAGAACTTGTTTCCTTAGCCGGTCACGGACTCTGTACGCGTAGTGAGCCTCCTCTACGCCTTCGTATTCAGGGAAGGATTCGCGTGGAAAGATCTTTCTAGCGATTCTCTCGCAGAGAAGAGTTGCCTTGTCGAAGGAAGAATCAAGCGACGGACACCATTTAGCAGCCAGAGAGATCTTGTTCGTCTCGCCGGAATTCAAGAACTCGACGTCTCTCCTCAGGTGATCGGCGAAAAGATCGGAGACGCGTTCGTGGAGGTAACGATAGTCCACGTCTTGAGAGTATCTTGTGAATGCTTCCTTCCCCATCGAAATCTTCACCTGCTTACGATTCGTACTCGCTATTGCTTTATCCTCCTGGTTCTTCATCTCTGCTTTCTCTATCCTCATCTTCCTTACAACTGCTACTGCTCTTGCTAACCTCAGCTGCCTCAAATGTTCTCTCGCTGCCCTAATCTCCCTCGTAGGAGCCGTCTTCACTTTACCTGATACAACAGCTAAAGGAGCTCTTCCTCTACCTCTAGATCGTCCCCTGAAATTTCTTTTCCTCTTCATCAGTTCCGATTTCTGGGTCGTACGGATATCAGACCTTTTAGAATCCGGTAAAGAATCTCCGGAAAATCCTTAAAGTAGCCGAATTCGGAGAGCTGCTCGATGTTACTTGCTAGGGTTTTGGGGTGGTGACCATGGAGCCAAAGAGCCGCCGTGTAAAACCCTTCCTTGTCGGATTTTCCGGTACCACGGACTCCACGGAGGTTGCAGATTAGTTTGAGTGTTGTTAAGGCGTCGTGGTCCCAAGCAGCTTGGAGACGCTGCTCCAGAGATTTCTTGGGCGTGGAGGGAACAACGTGGAAGAAGAAGTCGAGGCAAGGGTTGTCTGCGGAGAGGTACGTGTCGGCTCCGTTCTCTGTCCGGCCCTTTTGTGGAGAAGAGAGATCGTTGACTTTGATTGACTTGTTGAAGGTTGAGACCATTAGATCCATAAATGGGTTGATAGTGTTGGAGTCTTGGATCTCCGGTGGACCAGTCAATGGAGAAGCCATGGTGATTTTTTTGGAGAAAGCGAAAGAGTTTCTTGGGGAAGAAGTTATTGGAAGCTAAAGTGGGTGGAGGATGATGAAAATCTCGTTTGCTTTGGCCTTTATTTATAGATACTGTGCGAAAACACTTAAATTATGACTTGGCGATCACGTTTTTTTTCAAGACGGTGTAGCTTAGCGGCTAAGTCGGTGGGCCAAAACCTTAGGGAGTATTGTTAATGGTCAAAGTCGGTGAGCCAAAGATTACGGTTTTCTGTGGCGGCGAAAAAATCGACAATTATAAAAACTAAAAACAAAATTAAGGAAGAAGAGGCTTCAGTTTTGGAAAGACGTTAAGCAATTCTAAGTCATTAATATTTTAGATATATTAATCAAATCCCATATGTTTCGGGGATCACATACTGGAATTGATTTAAATTTAGATCCCTTAAAGTTACAATCAGTAATGTGTATATATCTCTCATGATTATTATTATAGAGGATTTTGCTGATTTGGCTCTATCTTACATTATATAATTTCTCAAACCACCAGCTAGCAAATATCGAAGCCAAATTAATGCAGAATAACTTCTCAATTACAATGTGTGGTTTTGTTCAGTTAGCTCTTTCTGGACTACTTTAAGTCTTCTACTGCTCTTTGCTCACCCCAACTCCGAGCTATGATCACTATGAGTAGTGAGTACCACACTGCTTTCAATGGAGTTGCATTAGGAATAGTAAGTCAAAAGAAGGTTTTATAGTACGTAGTAAACTATTGCATGCATGACTTATTAAGATCAGATGATTCTGACAGACGAAGGGACAAACTCAAAAAAAACAAGAAAAAGCGTGAACGGCAGGATTCGAACCTGCGCGGGCAAAGCCCACATGATTTCTAGTCATGCCCGATAACCACTCCGGCACGTCCACTTTGATGTAATGAGACAGTAATCATATATATTATAAGCGAATTAAAAATTTCGTTTAAAACTCTCCTATTCAATCTCAGGGTGGCTAATTACCCTTTACCCTTTCTTAAATTTGTTTTAATTTAAAAAAAAATAGGAAAACAGAAAAAATTGTTTAAATCTAAAATATAAATCATGATTAAAATATAAGTTGTAATATTAAAAAAATCTAAATTCACGATTTTATCTGAATAATAAAACATAAATAAAATATGTTGTTAATATTTAATATTATTCACGATTTAATTTCTAAACAATATTCAAAAACAGAAAATATGTATCTTATCTAACAGAAAAATATGTTGGTTTTAATATTTAATATTAATATTTAATATTATTCACGATTTTATTTCTAAACAATATTCTATAACAGAAAAATATGTATCTTATCTAACAGAAAAATATGTTGGTTTTAATATTTAATATTATTTGTTACATGGAAAATTATTTTGTTTCATGAAGTTTTTTACCAACACTGCGAAAGTTAATATTTATAATACAGTCTAATGTACATTTATTAGAATAAGATGAAGACAAATAAGAAGACGAAGATAAACCAGAAGACTTATTTACAAGCTAATGTTTATTTATTCAATATAATGTGAAAATAAATAAATAAAAAGATGAAGATAAGCGAAAGAAAAACTGGAAGAGTAATATAACTAAAAGATGGATACAATGAATAATGAGAGGGAAGAAAATCTGGAAGAAAAAATAGAAAAGAAGTCGGAGGAAGGAGATGAACACGATGAAGAAGTAGAAGAAAAAACGGAAGAAAGAAAAAAAAATTAAAAAAAAGAAGTAGAAGAATAAGAGGAAAAAAATCAAAACATAAAGAAAAATACAAAGTTGATGACAAAGAAGTTAAAAAACGAGAAAAAAGACAAACAAAAAGTTGTGATTAAGAAGAAGAAAAGAGACAGTGTTGAAGAAGACAAGAATAATTAAGGTGAATAGGAAAAGAGATGAAGAAAAAAGAGTAGAAGAAGAAGAATTTGGATAAAGAAGTCTAATAAAAACTAAAAGAAGAACAAGAAAAAAAAACTCAAAGAATACAAAATGATGAGGAAGAATTCAAAGATGATGAAATAGAAGTAGGAAAGTATGTGGAAGAAAAAAAACAAAAAAAATAAAGAAGAAGAAGAAGAATTAAGAAGAAGACATAAGAGAAGAGGAAAAAGATGTAGAACTCAAATGCGATGATGACGATGAAAGAAAAATATGAAGAATAAAAAATAGAAATATAGATTTAAGAAGAGAAAGAACACAAAGAATTAGAAGTCGAAGACGATGAAGAAGAAGAAAGAAAAGATGGGGAAGAAGAAAATCCAAGAAGAAGAAGCAAAAGTTGAAATTCATGAAGAAAGGGAATAAGGAAATGACGAAGAACAATAAGAAAAAAATTATAAAAAAGTAAAATATATAGGACAATACAAAGATGTTAAAGGATTTTGACAAAAGAAGACAAATGATTTAAAATGGGAGAAGAAGAAGAAGAAGAAAACCATAAATAGATGAAAAATTGTCCTATATATTTTAAGTCATTTGATGATAATGTAAATGAGAAAAAAGAAAAAGTGGAAAAAGAAAAATATAGGAAAAAAAAACTAGATGAATACCTTATTGAGGATAATGTAAATGAGAAAACATTTGGAGATTTAAGATTTTGGAGGCACTGAAAAAGAAGATGAAAAATTTAGAAAAAAGAAGAATAGTCGAAAGAAAAAGAAAAAAAGAAGTCAAAGAAAAAGAAAAAAAAAACCTATAATATTTATGTATTATTCATGCATATGTGATAATATATTTTTTTATAGTTCATTGCATATATAAAACCATGACAGACATATATAATCTGTTTTATTTTTTTTTAAAAGATAAAAAATACATTTAGTAAGAATAAATATTTTCGAATGATACCGTTTACTTTATTTTAATTTCAAATATCTCAATAACACAAATGATGCAAGATGACAGTTTGATATTTTCAACATATTTTCGAAATTTACAAAAATATAGTGACAGATTCCATCAATTGGTTATGTTTCAATTAATAAAACTTTCCATCTGCGCAAGGTGCGGCAAACTACCTAGTTTTCCTGTACAAATAATAACAAATAGACACTCTTGACCATTTCACGTTTGCACCCCTTTTATAGCTTTTTTTTATAACATTTTTGTGTTGCCAAAAACTTTTTCTCGAATACTTTTCTCATTTCTCTCGATGATCTCATTATATACAATTTTATTTATTTATATGTATCTATGTACAGTCAAATCCACACTAAAAAGGGAAGATGTTCAAACCGTTTACATTAAAACGACAAGACGTTACCTAACTTTCTTCCACAGTTACACCAAAATCTACTCCAAGACAAGAACCTGGATGATATGTTTAATGATTGGAATCATCAATGCAAATGTGAAGATGCATCACTACAATTTTCTGAGCCAAAAACTCAAAACTATAGAGAACCTTTTACATGGAAAGAAAAATTTTAAAAGCTTGAAGAAACAAGATTACTATAGTGTATTATTATCTCATACAAATGATGATTAGAAGAATCAAGTATGTTAAAAAATAACCTAGGTTATCTAGGTTCTAATTTTTTCTTTATTATTATTTCCACTCTTTCGTCAATATCAAAATGAAGCCACTAATCAAGTTCTAGACTCTTTTTCATAGCTTCGTAAACCATATAGGTAATGCTTGCAGCAGGAACAACTTTTAGAAGATTCGGTAGAAGCCCTTTGTACAGTGCTCTGTAGCCTTCTTCGCTTATTGTCCTCCTGAATACTCCAGACATCGAGGTCCTTGTTCGTTCCGCTTGCATTCTGTGTGACAATAACATATACTTTATATATGAAAAACACTTCAAATGCCAACACGATATGATATAGGCTTGTGTATGGATTTAATTACCTTGTTCTCACAACCTGCAAAGGATAAACGCAGGTTGCTCCAAGAGCTCCTGAGATTGTTCCGCATCCTAGTTGCACAAGCGGACCTGGTTCTGAAGATGAAACCGAGACTATATGAGTCTATGTTCAAGCAGATTCAGAGAGGATGGGAAAATATAGCAATAGAGAGATTTTACCAGCGTCTTGAAGAATATATGTCCTGGACAAGTCCTTTAATGTCTCATATGCAGCAAGGTCGATACCAGCATAAGGAATAATCCCGAGAAGTGAAGGAAAAAGACCTTTGTAAAAAGCGCGTGGACCCTCATGAACCAATATGTCTTTAGTGAGCGTTCCAAGCCTAGGTCCAACAACACCTGCTTCGCTAGTGCACGTCTGCAACCGAGTTTTCACAAGATCCAAAGGGTATATAGAGGCTTGAGCCACTGCACCAGCCATACCTCCAGCAAAAAGTCTAGCCACTGTGCCTATATCCGCTTTGTCTTCACCCATGTTTTCGCCAATAGCGTTTTTGAAAAGCTCATATGCATAGAACTTGATGGCACTCTCTGGTGCTACCTTCACGATATTCAACCCGTTACCTCGAAAAAAACCTCGAACCCCACCTTGCTTCCATATCGTCTTCACGGCTTCTCGGATTTTAGCATCGGTTTTCTGAATTTGCAAAAGAACTTTTAAGCGATCTAGAGGTGCAGTCGCAGTCCTAGAAGCAGCACCGGCTATGCCACCTGTGACAGTACCAATTTTGTTGTCAAAAGCCAGTTTTGTTTCTGTTCAACAAAAATAAGCTAACTAACAATCAAAGAAAGGCCACCTGCAATGAAATAGTTGCTCCTCTTTACATGTTTGCTGATTCCTTCTGGAATGACGGCTTGTTCTCCAATGTCTACGAGACATACTCTTTCCCAGTGGTGGTATATATTTTCGATTGTGGCTTCGTGAGGATACAGCAAGAGAAAATCTCTCCATTCTTCAAACATTATGATCCCATCATTGTCCTTGTCAACGTGTTCCACAAAGCGAGCGAGCTCCTCGTCATTTATCTCAATTCCTGCAAAATAGAAACTGTTGTGGCTTATAGGACGAAAATAGAGCATAAACCCAAATGTTTTGGTTGAAAGTTACTATTTCTACACTTAGCACTGCGACCAAATTTTAGCACATGGATGAAAACTAACAAGGCTTATTATTAAATGCACAGAAGTGAGGGTGTTAACGTTACACCAAATGAAACCATAATATACACCCATAGGAAAAGTCTTCATAAGAACATCATACTCAAAGCTCATAGATACGCCTTGTTACAGTCATAATATTTACTCAACCACTTAGATTCACAAGAATCTCATCTTAACCAATGATCAGACGTGCATAAATAGCAAAAAGATAAGCACTATTTCATCAACCTAGACCCAAAAGCTTTCCTTGCAAACAATTACTCTCCCTAACCACAATTCTCATCCATTTCATCCCAAGATTACTCAACCACTTAGATTTACAAGAGTTTCATCTTAAACAAAGATGATCATACGTGCATATATAGCAACAAGATAAGTTCTATTTCATCAAACCTAGACCCGAAAGCTTCCCTTGCAAACAAATACTCTCCCTAACGACAATTCTCATCCATTTCATCCCAAGATTACATCAACAGAGATTGTACAAACTTGTCCTGATCTTCAAAGTTAAATTTCATTCCAAAACGTATAAATTCTTTACCAAATACTCATTTACTACACAACTCAGCTTAAGCTACTATGATCACTAATCGTGTTCAAAGCAAAAAAAAGGATTGCACTTTTAACACTCCAAGCAATAGAAAATAATCAAGAATTGAAGAGCATGCAAAATAAAATTATACCGGCCTTAACGAGCGAATCCCAGAGTCCCTCAGGAGAAATGCAACCATTATGCTCAACATCAATAGCTTGAAATATCCTGTAGAGCTCGAGCTCCTTATCATCCATGTATCGACGAAACTCGTGATAATCGACACGTCCATCTCGGTTCGCATCACAAACCCTAAACAACTCCTTGGCGTATTTGTAGCCACTAGGGATTTGAAGCGCGATCAATCCCTTCTCGATTTGGGCGCAGTCCAGATACCCAACATTCTCAGAATCGAAGAAGTTGAATAAGCTTCTGATTCGTACATCTCGCTCCTCTCTCGTCTCACGGAGAGCTAGAAGAACGTGATCCATGGAAACGGGTCCGGGTTTCTTAACCGGGTTGCAACATTTCTTAGCTTCGATTTTCGTCGGTAAACCAACATGCTCAACGCCGTGATGACTCGACATGATCGGAATCGAAATCGAGGGAATTGACGAAATCAAATTGCGTTTTCTGGGTCGGTAATCATAATCCTCTCCTTTATTCAGATCTACAAGAGATGTATAATGAATCCGATCTACAACAATCTCCAAAAACGCTCACCATTTAAACCCGTAACGTCGAGAGAATTTCTCAAATTCCGTTATCGGAGTTTTGAAATCACAATTGAGTTTGCTGTTCCCAAAATTGCAGTGATCAAAGCGGTGGAATCCAAAAATGATAAGAAAACAAAACGAAGAAAGAAGAAGAAGAAATGTGTGAGAATAATCAGCAGTGATGTTATATGAACATTGATTCAAAGAAGAGAATGTAGATTTGTGCTGATGCTGATGCTTTACAGGTATAGCAAAAGGAAGAAGAGAGAGAGAGAGGTGGAGTTGGAAAAAGGGCCAATCTCTCCAATGGTGTGGAGTCGAGATTCGCATGGGATATTCTTCATATATTTTTCCGAATTAACTTGATTTATAAACTTTATATGCTTACGCGATCTAATAATCATATCCTTTTTGGGGAAACAAAAAATATTTAATATTCTTTTATTCCGTTCATATAGTATACTTTTTAAAATTGAAAAGGATTTTTAGTGATTGTTGACGGATCCAAAGAGACTAGTATTTTTTGTACATAACTCCTTGAACATTGCATAAAATGGGTCCAGAAAGAGAAAAACGTTCAGTATGGTTTTCAGTTATACGAATCCCACGTTTTATATTACGGTTTTCATTGGTATGAAATGTTGAAACAAAATCACCTTTTTTCCGAAAATTTTAAACAGGTGAATAAATGCAATACGTAGTTATTGTTTAAGAGATTTTTGGTTCTCTTAGAAGCAAATCTCCTGCAAAACTCAACAAACACATGAAGGCCTCACAAAACACGACGGAAAAGTAGTTTTCGATGATTTTTCGACGCTTAAATCAGAAAACAGTGAAAAAAGACTCCAAGGTGGCAAATCAGAGAGAAGAAATAAATTGGAAAACGGATGAAGAAAAGTGGACCGAAAGCTCCTAAGAAAGGTGGAGTCTACTCGGTCCTTTCTATGGTGATGGGCTTTTTGAGGTGGAAGGAGAAACGATGTAAGATTTTGTGGTTGGAAATGCTCCACGGTTTAGAGACCACCGTGGAGAAGAAGTAAGGAGATGGTCGGAATGATGACCAAAAATGTCAAGTGCTCTGACTTAAGAATCACGAGTATCTAGAGAGATAGTCTGGATCTTATGATATCATAACGAGCTCCTTTCTCGTTGGAAATGGCAACATATTTATAGAGTTTTAACTGACCCGGCTTAGTATACCAGGTCGGTCCTTGGGTCGCAAGTCAGGCAGGTCAGTTTGTGATCCGACTTGGTTAGATCTGATTCTTATGCTTGTGTCATGCCTCTGACAACTTTTCTTGGCATGTTTTCTGTTGTGAGACCGCTCCTTGGCGTGTCTCTTTCACCCTCAGCGTACAGATTGGGTTTGACGGTTCAGGTGCGGTATGGCTTTTGCTGATCTTCTGATTTTTCTCTGCCTTCTGCGAATGGTCATTATCACCTGACATGTGTAAGAATGGTGCATTAAATGTCAATCTCATGAGTTTGTAAAGGCATGGTCAATCACATCAGACTAAGGCATATTTCACTTGTCGAAAGTAGGAAAATTCGAACAGTATATATTTCCCGCTTAAAGAATTATTAATATCTGGCCCAAGATCCCTTGATACTGAGACCGGGCTATCAAGATTGTTTCACAGACTGACTCCTTTCTCCGGGTACCTGTGCGAGTTACACTTTCTTATATCCTAACCCTTCTAGATCACTGAGTTTGGGCCTAAGACATAAAAATGTAATTTTTCCTCCTCCTGACTACTAAGTTCTTGATCTCCTTGTCTCTGATAGTGTGGCATGCGCTGTCAGATACGAGTAACCCAGGAACAGGTGGTTTTTCGTGTCGGATCTCCCAAATCCAAAAAATCCAAGGTCTGGTGCTATATGCTTAGGTCGTATTAGGCCATAAATCCAATATGAATTCGAATTTGGCACAGTGGAGTCATACCTGCAAAAAAATCATGAACGCCACGTGCAAGCATGTGATTTGTTCACGTAGGAATGATCGAATTTATCCCCAGCAGTTACCAATTGAGAATTAGTCTAGGCTTAATATGGACCGAACCAAATTGTCAACACTCATCACTAGAGCTGGGGATTTGGGTATATGGTTCGGGAGTTTTTTAGATTTCGGGTTTCTTAGGTATTGGAGTTTACAAACCATATTAGAACCCGGTTGGATGGATTTCAGATCGGTTTAGATACTAGATTGAAACACCATCTTGATTCAAAATATTTTTCAGTTTGGTTCAAATTTGATTATCAGAAAAACTACATGAATTATCCGAACTATTTGAATACTCGAAAAAATATCCAAACTATCTGATATTTTTATCTAATATACTTGAAATCATATATATGAAAAGAGGTGAACTCTTTCATACAGCTTGCCACATCAGCACTCCAGAGGCCAACAAATGTCTATTTAAAATAAATTTAATGGTATTTATTCCAATTTTTAATTTATTAAGTATAAATTTCATCTAAGAAATTGCAGCAGTCTTTTTTTTTTAAGAAACATCTACATTTTCAATCATATCTTTTCATCTTCTTAGTCTTTTCAACATTTTCATCTAAGAGAATATATACATTTAGGTAGAGCTGTCAAAATGGGTGGGCGACCCATGGGTTGTCCGCGTCCAACACATTTTGGACTGGTCATGGCCAAGCCCATTTTTGAAACGGGTTTAAATGGGCTTCATCCAATTTTGCCCATAGACAAAACAGGCTGGACAATTTAGACATTGGTCCGCCCAATGGACAAAAAAAATTAGGTTAAAATTATAAGATGCTAAAAAAGGTAGAGTTTTGGATGTAAATTTAGCATTTCAAAACAAAAAGACTAAAATAACATTTGGTATAACATATTCATAATTATCTTTTAAAATTATTTTTTGCCAAAAAACTTTCTCATCAAAACAAATTTCGCTAAAATCCCTAAAAATGAAAATATCAGTTTCCAGCCAAAAACAGCAAAATCTAGTTTTCTCGCAAAAACCATTAAATCAAGTTTTCCCGTAAAATCTGCAAAATCATGATTTTTCCATCAAAACAAAAAACTCCGATGCCACACAAAACCTCAAAATATTGTTTTTTCTGCCAAAATATAAAATCTCGATTTTCCGCCAAAAATTCAAAATTTCGTTGTCCCGTCAAAAACCGCAAAAATCACATTTTCCCGAGAAAATCATTAAATCAAGTTTTTCCGCATAATCTCGATTTTCCATCAAGACGAAAAACTTCAATGTTCCGCAAAAGCCGCATAAATCTCGATTTCCTGTCAAAAACGCAAAAATCTTGATTTCCCATCTAAAATGCAAAAATTTTGATTTCCCGTCAAAAAATTAAAATCTCGGTTTCCTGTCAAAAAATGGAAAACCTCGATTTCCCGTCAAAAACGCAAAAAACTCGATTTCTTGCCAAAACAAAAAAAATCATTTTCCGCCAAAAAACGCAAAATATTAGTTTCGTATTAATATTAAATGAAATATTAGTTTCACAGTTATGTTTCATAATAATATCTTAGTTTCATATTAATATCAAATAAAATATTAGTTTCATATTAATATAAAATAAAATCTAAATGATTTAGGTTTTAAAGACATTGTTTTCAGTTTTTTAGTCTTAATGTTCTGCTAGAAAAATTCAATCTCACTAAAAGAAAAAAACAAATTTAATTTAATTTTATGATCATGGGACTTGCTCTAGAAATATATTAAGGGGGTGTTATTCAATCATGGTTTTTAATAGAGTTTAAATCCATCTATAATTCATTGTTATTCAATAATTGATTTTGATTTTTCCTTCAAAATCCAATGTTATTGGTTCATGTATTTACAATCTCTTCATTAATAGAGTTTGAAATCCATTGTTATTCAATTAAAGAGTTGAATAAGTCAATTAAAATCTTATGTTATTCATGTTTAACAGATTCTGACAACTGATTTTAAGTGAAAGATTTTAACTAAATTTGAACCTATTTTTATGTGTTAAATATAGCAATCAAAATCTAACATTTTACCCTCAGATTTTGATAATTATAAAATTCAACACAAATAATTATTAACATTTGTTTTTTTCTTTCTTCCCTCCATATATTAATCCATCGAATACATCATTTTTCATCCCTCTAATTTTTTTTCTTTTCCCTCAATTTTGTCTTTTCATTCTTCATACGTCTTCCTTTTCCCTAGTCCATTTTTCTCACCCTCCTCTCTTTCCATAAGTCAACAAACCATTTATTATTTATTATGAAAACTCAATTTCTCACTATTCTCTCTTTTCTTTAGCACATATTTCTCTCTCTTCTCTTTCTCCATAAGTCATCAAAGAAAAAGTAATATCTTTCTGGATTAGCAATTGTTCTGATTTTTGTTTTGATTATTTAATTTCTTTGCCATGTTTATAGAGACTAGTGATATTTTTTACTTCGACGAAATTTTTTGAGAATTCTTTTCTATTAGATTTTAAATGATAGCATTTGACTTTCTAAATACACTGCTAAATAATTTTAAATTTTAAATAACTCATATACTTTAGATTCTAAATGAATTAAAAAATTTCAAATCTGATCTACTCTAATCTAGTGGAGTTGATTTCAACATACAGATTGAATAACACCCCCTAAGTCGGTTTGAAGAAGTTGCGAAAAACATGTGGAACACAATTCCATTATTCTGTAAGTTATCTGTAAGCTCACCAAAACCTAAATCTTAATTATCTGTTTTCAAGTAATTCAACCCAAAAAAATGTGGCTTTTATCTATTTTTTTTATACTCATATCATGTTTATGATTTCTAAGATTGTAGAATAATTTCCCTACTTATCCTACTTCTAATCTTAAAAAAAATAATATTTGTTTAGTAAAATATAACAAATACCAAACAATCAAGCAAATTATCAAACTCTTATAAATAATTACGTTTATATATAAATAATTACATATATATATCAATATAATTATATTTATAAAAATATTATGTCAAACAAAACATGTGCGTATGCGTGGGTACAAGGCTAGTCATATATATGAAAAAATGTGAACCTTCTTCCACAAAAGCCAACAAATGTCCATTTTAAAAATAAATTTAATGGCATTTATTCCAATTTTCAATTTATTAAGTGTAAATTTCATCTAAGAAATTGCATCACTCCTTTTTTTAAGAAACATCTACATTTTCAATCATATATTTTCATGTTCTTCGTCTTTTCAACTTTTTATCTGAGAAAATATATAGATTTAGGTTTTAAAAACATTGTTTTCAATTTTTTTAGTCTCGATGTTCTGCTATAAAGATTCATCTCACTAAATTTGATTTTA